GGTTATTTATTATAATTCTAGATCAATGAAAAGTCTTGAATGAAGGCAGGATGATAAGAATAAACTGAAGAAACAAAGTTTAGGCTGCTTTCTGTATTTCAGTGTAAACTGATGAATATTAAAAAAAGAAATAGTATGTATAAAGACAACAATTTATTCATTCATTATAGAAATTCTAATGTGCCAAATGCTTTTCTTCATGCTAAGTTAATATTTAATAATACAATTTTATGAGGCCCATGATTTAAAATCACATTATTTAAGATGCAAGTTATTAAAATACGAATCTGATCAGCCAAGCATAACACACCAGTTGCTGTAAATTCTAATACACATTTTTAAAGGATTTAAGTATTGTTGTTGGAAATAGATTGCCCTTGTGGAAGTTGCAGTGACTTAATTTTATTATGGAATTCCCACCATTTTAAAGAAATAAAGTTACTGGAAGTAATGGAGGCACATTTTTTTTTTTCCTAGTCACATATAGTGTTGGAATGAAATATTTATCTTGGTTTAGTTAGAGGTTGAATGCAGGTTGCCAGTCAAAAGAACTGTAAGACAACAATGAAAAAATTAATGTAAACTGTCATATTAAGAACCAAAATCACTTATTTTCTCACTGAGCTTTATTTTATCCCATCTCTAGTTCGCTTTCTGCCAAATGCATTGATTTCTGCTTTCCCCTCATGCCATCCCCACAGGATGGATTTAATTTTCTTCATGTTTCTCATTTTGCTCTCTAACCTCGCAGTCATCAATAAAGGTTTAAACCACAGAGCAGCACTGTATTTCTTAAGCTCCATTAATTTCATTTGGTTTTATACACATGGAACAGTGTGTTAGACTGTAGTCACTTTTGTTGTGCATTGTTTATTGTCCCTCATGCCACTGTGTTTATCCATTGTATAAACTTTACTGGCCAAGACAAACTCTGTGACTTATTTTTGTTTTATATCAGAGAAAATGTCCCAATTTCATGGATTTGCAAAAATGTTTTAGAATAGCCTGGGAGTAAGAGCCACTGAATTCAGGTGGAGTAATTTCTAAATAGACAAGGATTATAACAAAAAACAGTAGTAACTCACCTGTTGTCCATCCATTCCTGGGACACCAGGTGCACCGAGTGAGCCCTGAAGAGAATCATATATCTGGATTTAGCAAAATTATCCAGATCATGCAATACTTCACTGTAGATGCTTAACTTTTGTAATTTTTTTCAGCTATGGAACTTGATTGATTCATTCAGCTTTTAATAGTATTATTCTTTAACTTAAATATAAAGGATTATTCTTTCTACATTATTGTTGTTTTATTTTGTTTCAGAATTATGAAGCAAAATTGCAATCTTTGTGTGTTAAAAATGAATTCAATATTTAAAAGATTCTCATACTTTTAGAACATATTCATCATTTTATTTTTAAAGAATTACCTAAATACCCCAAATTTTATTTATGAATATAGTTCTCTAAGTGTTATCAATAGGGGGACACGGTGGCGCAGCGGCTTAATGATGCTGAAAGTTGCTGGCCAGAAATGGTC